GCGTGTATGTGTGCCCGCCAATCGGTGCGTGTGTGTACATTGTACTACTAGTGTATATAATACATGGTCTTTTTTTTTAACCCACAGACCTTGCCCCTGAGGTCAACCTCCACCTCCTTGGACTCGAGCTTCAGCGAGGCCTTTGTCTCCTCTGTCAACTCTGGAGGGGGGTCCAGCTGTCCCACGATGATAGCTCGGTTGTTCATGTTGGAACCTTTACCCTGGTCGCTGTCATGGAGGAAGTTTCGTAAGAGTTTTACGGCACTTGCAACACAATATGGTCATATAAGTGCAGAAGAATAGATGCGTTGCAAGAGAGTAAAATACACCAAAAAAGAAGGAGGAGAGATAAGGACGATACATTCTTTATAGGAAAGATGAATCGAACCACACTAGAGCCCCCACCAACCACCCACTTCGTCGCAGAGGAAAAGGAAAAGGTGTATGATATAGATTTATAGAGGAAAAAAGACTATAGTAAGGATTAGGAAAGAAAAAGCAGCAGTTCAGGCAGAGTTAAGAGCATGACATTGATGAATCAGCCTATTTACAATTACAATTCTACTGTGCATAAGATAGATAAGAACTCGAGATGTTAATGCTGGCCTAAAGACACTTCGGTTAGTAGCACCGCCCTGGGGATACTGTTTGAGTTAAGAGGGGGACACGTACACTCCCAGAAAAATGTTCTGATTTTTTCTGAAAAATGGGTCTCTGCGGCGGCTATCTTGGATTTTCAAACAAGTTTCTTAGTGCAGAAAATTTTCAGAGTAAATATTGAATTATCAGCCAAAATTTGGAACACAAGTACAAACCTATATGGACTGGGGATCCATGTGAGGACTTTGACCGATCTTTAAAACTGAAAAAGTGAGCCCAAAGTCAGTGGACCCCCGAGAGTCAGTTGACGAAATTTTGGGGCACAATTTACCCAAAAAAATTGAATATTTCCATAAGTTACATTTACCAATATTTCACAATCTCCTCACATAAATCCCCAGGATAGATCTTAAAGCACCTGTACGCCAAATTTGAAGCTTCTAGCTTCAGTAGTTTTTTGCAAACTCCTTGCACCAAGGAGGTTACATATGTCAAAAAGTAGATTTTGAGAAAAACAGACAAAACAGGGTTTTTAAAAAGGATTTTCAGTGCAATTTGCACTTTTCAAACGCCCTTTTAGGTTATTTAGGGTGTGGGGGGGG